CTGCTGATAGAAGGTGTAGAATAGAGCAGGAGGAACTGAGTCTTGTTTGTGTTTCTTAGGAGGTTACAAGGTAGGAGGGGAGGTCAGCCTTTCTGTCAATGTGCTGTCACAGCACAGTCCTCTTTCTGGTCCTACCCTGGCCCAACACAGGTTCTGACCCATAGCTGATTAATTTATCCACCCCAGTTTGCCTCCTCCTAACCCTTGCCAGAATTTAGACTTATGTTTTTGAGGCTACCTGTCAATGACCTGAATGGGAACTGCAGTGTTGTGCTACTGCAAGTACAATGCCAGGCAACAAACAAGCAGCAGTGATTTTCACTGGTTAGCATCACATTGTGTCCTCAGGGGCTTCCTACCCTGCTCTTTAGTGCGATCACCCCAGTCATGACCTGTCCAAGTTTCATCTTCTCTAAACTATCTAATCCACCCCCCACCTCCAGCACTGCATGCAAAACCTCCAGATATATGCAATGAGAAGATATATCTCCAGATATATCCAGAGGAAAATCACTTAGTGATGGTTTGTGGACTCCTTCCAGAATATGTACAGAGAAGAAACTGTGAGGAGGAATTGTTCCTTCAGCCTGTAAGGGTCTAGACATCAGGTCTCAACCACCAGAGAACAGAAAAATATCCTCTTGGCTTCAGCAAGAAACACCTAGATGCTGAACTCCAGCAAGTAGACATCATTGCCACATGGGACCAATATGCTATAACACAGGTAAGCAGCCCCCATTCATGCTAAAGACTTTTGACAACTCTCTTATTTTTAGGGCTGAATGTGTTTGACTTCTCCAGAAGCTGGAAGAGGCTGTGTCTCACTCAAAGCCCCTGGGGACTCCAAAGGCTTTGGTGCTGGCTAACATGCTTTGGCCATTTCCATCCAGCTAAACTCCTAGTCTCCAGAAAGGACCTTTGTAGCCAAATTGCTTGTTGAGAAAAACCACTGGATGTGGACATGCCTGACTGCCTGGGAATTGTTTCAGAAAGTGGTCATGGGGCAGTTGTGTGTCAAGGACACTCTTACAGTGCAAGAAGATGAGTCCCTGGACTGGAGAGGTCATGGAACTAGTCACCCATGCCGAAAAGAGCCTGGCTGGGAGATGTACAGCTGGATGAGCCCCACTTTCAGTGATTAAAGCTTAGGAGGTTTGCAAAAGACAGAATAAATCACCCTCCATGTCCCAAATTCTGCCTGTGCCAATAACCAGAATCAACTCATAGGAGGAAGGTGATTCATTCTGGATTTTCCTACGGGGAAACCCCTTCCCTGCTTCCTATAATTAGAAGCTTGTTAATGTCTTACGTCCCAAAGATTTATGTACTTTTCTCTTTCACAATAGCAGACAGTGTCATTATCTTCTGACATCCCATTGACTTAATCCAAAATTTGATGCTGGCCCTTGTCCCATGGCTATGGGTCCCCCAGATGATTCATCTCCAAACAGTAAATCCTTCTTTGTTATTTCACGTTGTGACTCTGTACATTCTTTGCAGCTCCAATAGTTCTTAGAGTATGAGAGAGGAAATTGAGGGTTTTTGGTCAATTTCTGTCCCCTTTTAGTCCTCCACCCATTGCTGTCATGACTGCATAGCTCCTTGACTTCATGGGTCTAGCCTGTCTTGTCTCTCCCACCTAGGGCTCTCCCAGGCCTATCTGTATGTGCAGCTGATACCAGCCACGTCTTCTTTTGTTGTATATTGGGAGGAGGCACAGTGGTCTTCACCAGAATGCTTTCTACCTTGTTTTTCATATCTCTTCACCTATAGATCTCTTCTCTTGCTTGGAGATCTTATTTGAGAGTTTCTTTTGGGCAGCTTTGTATGGTACTCTCTCTGCTGCCCTTGTCACCCACTGCACAGGATCTTCCAATGCAAGATGGGAATATTCAAGTTTATATCCATAAAATAAACTATCTGGATAAGGCAAACTATATAATTTATAATCTATAACTATATAGAGGAGCTATAACTGTATAGGAGAGAAGTTAAAACTATACAGTCTGCCTTGAATGCAGACACCTCATTGGTATCAACACAGAGAGGGCTTGAAATGATTTCCCACAGATTTGAAGCTTGCATGGTTGCTACATTCATTACACCCTTTAATTGTGGGTGAAACATGATGATTGTACCAGTGCCAGAGGTTGCACTAAGCTGCTCCTTCATCAGATGTGAATCAAATCTTCTACATGTGATAAGTGGAGAAAGCCACTCTGGCTTCAGCAGAGAGTCCCAGGGAGGAGGAAAGATCAGTCAGTGAAGAAGGGAAATTCCTATTATAAGGAAGGAAATAAAGGACTCTGTGGATATCCTCATGACATCAACAAATCTTGAGGAAACACCAATCTCAACCTACTCATCTGCTCTGTCCTGAGAGCACCTCAGGAGGAAAGGAATCAGCCCTATGATTTTCCCTAGCTC